ACAGCCCTCCGTCCCTCCGTCCCCTCACACGCCCTCCATCTGTCCATCCCTACACACAGCCCTCCGTCTGTCCGTCCCCACACACAGCCCTCCGTCCATCCGTCTGTCCGTCCCCTCACATGGCCCTCTGTCTGTCCGTCCCTACACACGGCCCTCCGTCTGTCCATCCCCTCACACGGCCCTCTGTCCGTCCCTACACACACTGCCTTCTGTCTGTCCGTCCCCTCACATGGCCCTCTGGCTAGCTGTCTGGCTGGCCCCACACACGGCCCTCTGTCTGTCCATCCCCACACGCAGCCCTCTGTCTGTCCAAGGGGCGCCATTTAGAAGGGGCAGGGGGTCGAGTTTTGTACCTGAACTCTGCTCACAGCACATGCCCTAACTCCAGACAGAGCTCTTAACTGTACATAGTTAACTGCACACAAAGTAGGGAAATACAACCTAGATGGAGCTACTATAAGGGGGTTGGAAAATCGTCCCCAGAGAGTAGTTATCAGTGGTTCACAGTCATGCTGGAAGGGCGTAACAAGTGGGGTCCTGCAGGGATCGGTTCTGGGTCCAGTTCTGGTCAATATCTTCATCAATGATTTAGATAATGGCATAGAAAGTACACTTATAAAGTTTGCGGACGATACCAAGCTGGGAGGAGTTGCAAGTGCTTTGGAGGATAGGATTACAATTCAAACTGGAGAAATGGTCTGAAGGAAATAGGATGAAATTCAATAGGACAAATGCAAAGTACTCCACGTAGGAGGGAACAATCGGTTGCACATACACAATGGGCAATGACTGCCTAGGAAGGAGTACTGCGGAAAGGGATCTGGGGGTCAGAGTGGATCACAAGCTAAATATGAGTCAACAGTGTGACGCTGTTGCAAAAAAAGCAAACATCCTTCTGGGATGTATTAGCAGGAGTGTTGTAAGCAAGACACGAGAAGTAATTATTCCGCTCTACTCCATGCTGATTAGGCCTCAGCTGGAGTATTGTGTCCAGTTCTGAGCGCCACATTTCAGGAAAGATGTGGACAAATTGGAGAGAGTCCAGAGAAGAGCAACAAAAATGATGAAAGGTCTAGAAAACATGAGCTATGAGGGAAGATTGAAAAATTGGCTTTGTTTAGTCTGGAGAAGAGAAGACTGAGAGGGGACATGAGGACAGTTTTCACGTACATAAAAGGTTGTTACCAGGAGGAGGGAGGTAAATTGTTCTCGTTAACCTCTGAGGACAGGACAAGAAGCAATGGGCTTAAATTGCAGCAAGGGCGGTTTAGGTTGGACTTTAGGAAAAACGTCCTAACTGTCAGTGGTTAAGCACTGGAATAAATTGTCCAGGGAGGTTGTAGAATTTCCATCATTGGGGATTTTTAAGAGCCGATTGGACAAACCCTTGTCAGGGATGGTCTGGATAATACTTAGTCCTGCCAGGAGTGCCAGGGACTGGACTAGTTGCCTCTTGAGGTCCCTTCTAGTTCTGTGATTCAATGATATGTGAGGAGTTCTGTGCTGCTCTCGGTGGGAGTGTGTTTATAACCAGGGGCAGGTGATTAAGATAACAAAAGACTTGTCATTAAAGTAGATTAAGGCTGGTTAGATGATCCTGAAAGCCGGGCCAGGCACTCCAGTGAAAAGACAGGACACAAAGGGTAGGAATAACTGGTCAGTTTTCACAATAGAGAGAGGTAAATAGTGGTGTCCCCCAGGGGTCTGTACTGGGACTGGTCCTATTCAACATATTCATAAATGATCTGGAAAAAGGGGTAAACAGTGAGGTGGCAAAATTTTCAGCTGATACAAAACTACTCAAGATAGTTAAATCCCAGGCAGACTGCGAAGAGCTACAAAGGGATCTCTCAAAACTGGGTGACTGGGCAACAAAATGTCAGATGAAATTCAATGTTGATAAATGCAAAGTAATGCACATTGGAAAACATAATCCCAACTATACGTATAAAATGACGGGGTCTAAATTAGCGGTTACCACTCAAGAAAGAGATCTTGGAGTCATTGTGGATAGTTCTCTGAAAACATCCACTCAATGTGCAGCGGAGTCAAAAAAGCGAACAGAATGTTGGGAATCATTAAGAAAGGGATAGATAATAAGACAGAAAATATCATGTTGCCTCTATATAAATCCATGGGACGCCCACAGCTTGAATCCTGTGCGCAGATGTGACGGCCCCATCTCAAAACAGATCGATGAGAACTGGAAAAGGTGCCGATAAGGGCAACAGAAATGATTAGGGGGATGGAGCAGCTTCTGTATGAGGAGCGATTAATAAGACTGGGACTTTTCAGCTTGGAAAAGAGACGACTAATGGGGGATAGGATTTGAGGTCTATAAAATCATAACTGGTTTGGAAAAAATGAATAAGGAAGTTGTCCCGGAGTCCCCGGGCGACGCTCTGGAGCTGCTCCCCACAAAGCCAGGCAGGACTCTGGGGAGCCTCCTCTCCCTCGGAGCAGACTGTCTTCAGGGCAAGAAGCTCACACGGCTTCACCTCCTGGGTCTGACCTTGCAGCATTCAGCAAATGCCCCTCCGTGCGCTTCCCACAGCGAGTCCGCCCAGGCGGGGTACTGGGGAAGCCAGAGGGTCCTGCACCCCCACTTCGCAGTCAGACGTGACTCTCAGCCAGCCAGTAAAACAGGTTTATTAGGTGACAGGAACACGGTCTAAAACAGAGCTTGTAGGTCCAGAGAACTGGACCCCGCAGCCGGGTCCATCCTGGGGGGCAGTGAGCCAGACAACCCTGTCTGCCCTCAGTCCTTGTCCCCAGCCAGCTCCAAACTGAAACCCCCTCCAGCCCCTCCTTCTCTGGGCTTTGTCTCTCTCCCGGGCCAGGAGGTCACCTGATCTCTTTGTTCTCCAACACCTTCAGTTGGCACCTTTGTAGAGGAGGGGCCCCGGCCATTAGTTGCCAGGAGACAGCGTGTTGGCCATTCTCTGTGCAGACACTATCACAGGGGCCTTCTTGGGCTCTGCAACAATTACACCCTGATCCCCCCCACCTAGATACCTAAGAAATGCATAGGGGAAACTGAGGCACCCACACAGTATTCAGAGAAAACATTAAGAACATTCCCACTTCATCACAGAAGTGTTACTTACTCCTTCACCTAAAACACAAGAACTAGGGGTCACCCAAAACAAAAGGAAGTTCTTCATCACACAGCGCACAGTCAACCTGTGGAACTCCTTGCCAAGGGATGTTGTGAAGGCCAAGACTATAACAGGGTTCAAAAAAGAACTAGATCAGTTCATGGAGGATAGGTCCATCAATGGCTATTAGCCAGGACAGGCAGGGATGGTGTCCCTAGTCTCTGTTAGCCAGAAGCTGGGAATGGGCGACAGGGGATGGGTCACTTGGTGATTCCCTGTTCTGTTCACTCCCTCTGGGGCACCTGGCACTGGCCACTGTCAGAGGACAGGACACTGGGCTAGATGGACCTTTGGTCTGACCCAGGTCGTTCTGATGTTCTTATATAGAACCCAGATGTATCTGCCCCCAGCTGTAACCCAGTAGACCCCACTCCCCTCCCCGGCTGAGATAGAACCCAGGAGTCCTGGCGGGGTCTCCCTCTCTGCAGAGTTAGTACCAAAGTAAGAATATACTTTACATTTTTAAACCTAACCAGCGTCCCTCAAGTGACTGGCCACAAGCTGTCAGAACGTGTTAGGATTAGGGCTGAGTGGGTCTAATATTTATTGCATTTTCTTTCTTTTCTATAGGAATTCGATCCAGGGCTCCTGTCAGCTCATTGCTAAGTTCTCTGCCAAACCACTAGAGTTTTCAGGTGCCTAAGTAGCCCCTGGCCTGGCATCACGGTTAAAGTTGCCCCCACCAAATCCGAAATGGCACCCCTGGTCGGTCCCCACACACAGCCCTCTGTCCGTCGGTCCCCACATGCCCCCCGTCACCCTCCCCTTCCCTTCTGTTCTCTGTGTGGGTCTCGCTCCTCGTCCCCCTGCAAGGGCCGGTGGGGGGGGAGGCAGGGGAACATCCCCTCCCCCGCAGGGTGACCCCGTCTCTCCCCTGCAGCTGAAGGTGACCGAGGACGACCTGTGGATCCGCTCGTACGGGCGCCTCTACCAGAAGCTCTGCTCCAGCACGGGGGACATCCCGATCGGCATCTACCGCACCGAGAGCCACCTGTTCTCTGCCGCCGAGGTGGGGGCTGGGCAGCCGGGGCCTTCCCCAGGGAGCGGGACTGGGGCTGGGGCTGGGCTGGGCCCCCATCCCCCTCAGGAACTGGGCTTGGCCCATCCACGTCTCCCCCCGGGATCAGGCCTGGGCCCCACCCCCGGGAACTGGGCTCGGCCCATCCACCCCCTGCCACGGGATCAGGGCTGGGCCCCCATCCCCCTCAGGAACTGGGCTCGGCCCATCCACGCCTCCCCCCGGGATCAGGCCTGGGCCTCACCTCCCGGGAACTGGGCTTGGCCCATCCACCCCCTGCCACGGGAGCAGGGCTGGGCTCCCATCCACCCTTGGGAGCAGGGCTGAGTCCCCATTCAGCCCCCCAGAGAGCAGGGCTTGCACCCTCTCCATCCCCCCCTGGAAGCAGGGCTTGCCCCCTCTCCATCCCCCCCTGGAAGCAGGGCTGCCCCCCCCATCCCCCCCTAGTTCACACTCACGCCCCCCCTTCAGGAGTGGGATCATCCCCTCCAGCGTGTTCAGGGGCTGGTCTCCAGGGCGGGGGGTGGGGTGCAGGGGCAGACGGCCCCCCCGCGCTAACCCCCGCCCCCCCCAGCCGCAGGTCTCCGTCAGCGTGGAGGACTACGAGGACACGCGGGAGCCGCGCGACGCCCTGATCTGCCGCCTGGGGCCCCGCGACTCCACGGGCAGCGACCAGGCCGAGCAGCCGTTGCTGCGCCGCAAGAGCATGCAATGGGCCCGGCGGCTGAGCCGCAAGGGCGGGCGCCACCCCAGCAAGACGGCGGCCGAGCGCATCAGCGAGCAGCGCCTGACGCTCTACCGCCGCTCCGAGCGCCAGGAGCTCAGCGCCCTGGTCAAGACCCGCATGAAACACCTGGGGCTCTCGGCCGCCGGATACAGTACGGGGGGGCCGGGCAGGCTGGGCTGGGGGGGGCCGG